CATCGGCTTATTATTGACCTTTGTGGCCACACCTGTCGTCCTCGGGTTAGAAATAGCAGACGGGGTATCGGGGCTGGTGGGAGTAGCTCTTGAATTTAATTCACATCGGCTGCAACGCAAAGAGCTGAAGAACGACGAGATCAGGGTTGTAGCCGAAGCCAAGTTATACGCAATCGACGATCACGTATCAAAAGCGCTCACGGACAGTAAAATCTCCCAAAATGGTTCCGTCTGGTGTTAGGAGAACTCACAAAATACGACAGAATGAAACAAGAGATTCGAACTAAGACTCGGAAAACCGCTGGCATCAGCGAAGACGAGAAAAAAAAAGTTCATAGAACACGGCCGACAGCAGATCATTCAAACCTTCCTTACACAGAACAAAGACCTCATAAAATATTAACGTTGAACTGTTTTGTAGATATCAAGTTGTATTTATAGCAAATCAATTAGACATTTGACGTTGCAATTGGATATAACAACCAGCGAACTCAAAGCTATTGCAAGCGATCGTGGATTGGTTGGTTATTCTCTCATGAGGAAAGCCGAATTGCTGACATTGCTCGACATTAAATATGTCAAGCCCCCTACTGTACGAGAGCTCAAAGTTCAAGCAAAAGAATGTGGGTTGAAGGGTTTTTCTGGCATGAGGAAAGCCCACATGTCGACATTGCTGGAAGACTCCAATCTGATTGACTTGCAATTTGTGCCAACAAAGCAAGAGGGTAAGTACCTGAGACCCTGGTGGATGACCGTCGGCAAACTCATGGACGTCAACGACATCAAACCTCTGATCGCTGATAAAGTTGAGGAGGAAAGTCACTATCAAAATGTTGCTCAACAAATAACAGACGGATGACAGTACCCAGTACGTCGAGCCTTATTTCAAAGGTGAACAAGAAGTCATACTTCAATCTGACTCTATCAAATCGACGATCGATGTGCCGTTCCAACAGATACAGGAATCATCAGAAAAATATACCCACAACGGGTCTGAATGAGTGGTGGGTAGTATCGATACCATCATTTGTATTGAGCAAACTACATACCATTCAAAGGTGGATCGTACATAGACTTGCCACTGTATTGCAAGAAAAAAACAAGTCATCATTAACGTTAAAAACAACGACGATAACTGCTTTAGATGGGTGCTGAGATTTGCTTTATTCCCTGCCGATTCTGGAATTGCAAAGACACCTTTGAGCTATCCCCCAGACGATGGGCTTACCTTTGTTGGTATAGAGCACCCACACCCATCTCCCAAATTATCAAGGTGGAAAAACAAGACAATTTAGCCATCAACGTCTCTTCGGACACGATAAAGGTACTATCGTGCACAGAATAAGCTCCAAATCGGAAACATCCCCAGGATCAATTTATTCTTAGTCGAAAAATATAATCAATTTCACTACACGTGGAGTAAAAGTTTGAGCAGACTATTCAACCATAAGGAAAAGAAACCCTTCTCTGAAAGATGTATCCTCGGTTACAGTCGAGAAGACCTGCTGGAAGTGCTGTAGAGGTTTGGGACAGACCACTGTTAGGATTGACATTCCCGAAGAAAATTTAAATATTTTCAAATTAAACCATTATAACAAACAAATGCACGTGCCCTGTGTGATTTACGCCGACATCGAAGCCCTCATCAAACAGGTCAAACACATCATGCCCGACACGACCAAATAAAGTCTTTTGTATAAAATGCAAGAACACGAAGCTTGTGGGTTCGGATAAGTGGTCGTCCGATACGATGGACAAACGAACGCTCCCGTGATCTGCCGAGGTCCAGACGCAGCTGATTTCTCACCCATCTACAACATGAAGAAAAAGCATCCAGGGACTCGTTATCTAAAATCGTGCCCATGCGTATGAGAAAGGATGACTGTAGAACTCACAAAACGTCGACTCATTGCCACGTGTGTAACCAACCCTTGAACAGGGATTCTGTGAAAGATCATTGTCACATCACAGGTCGGTACCGAGGTGAAGCTCACAACGAGTGCAACTTGAAACTAAGTATCTATCCCCAAAAGATACCCATCCCCGTGGTGTTTCACAACTTTCACGGCTACGATGCCCACCTCATCAAGCAGGCCATCTCTAAAGCAGGCAACATCAATTGCATCCCCAACAACATGGAGAAATACATCTCCTTTTCTTAAAACGGTCTGAAATTCATCGATAGCATTCAGTTTCTCCTGTTGTCCCTCGACAGTTTGGTGAAGGCCAACGACCCCGATACCTTCGCCATCACCATTCAATACACCGACGTGGTGACTCAGTCTTTGCTATCGAGGAAGGATGTGTACCCCTACGAGTACATGGACAGTTGCTCTCAGTTTAAGGAGACACGTTTACCTCCCATTGACTTAACTCACTTAACCGAATCCAGTATCACCGAAGACGATTACACCCACGCTCTTAACGTGTGGGAGAGACTAGGCTGTCAGAAGTTAGGCGACTACCACGATCTCTACTTGAAAACGGATGTGCTCCTGCTTGCCGATGTTGTCGAGATATTCAGAAAGTCTCCCAGGATACCGCTACAGCTTGGTTGGAGAATTAAGCCCTCTGGTAAATCGACTTGCCAGCTTGCCAGATACGTCCTGAGAAGAAAGTTTGATGTCTCGATACCCAATCTCCCGCACGACGCAAAACGTACACGTATGCTCTGATCGTTGTGGATGTTGCCAGTCACTACAAAGAGGCCGAGCCACTCACTGCGAAAGATTTGAGTAAAGTAGCTAATGCATTGGAACGTATCTACAAATGAAGCCCTTTGACGTGGCCTAGCGAATTACAATTCGATCCCGGACGCAAGTTCATGGGCTCTGTGTCACAGCTGTTATTTAAGCCATCGTCGAGAGATATAACAGCACCTTGGCCGAGTGTTTGTTCAGACACCTGTACGCTTAGAGTTGGTGACGCCTGAAAAACGATCGACAAAATGACGACCCGTTTACCTCGAGTGGTGTCGGCGATCAACAACGAAGTGACGCAACTCATCGACAAAAGACCCGCCGAGGCCATTAAAATGAAATATGTGACGCACACCACAAACCAACCGCAAAAAAAAAAAAAACTGTCGGCCTGGTGAAGACGAGGGAGGGGATCGACGTCGTGCCCTGGACCCCGTAGATGGGTGGTGGTGGTGTTCGACAATAAAATTAGTGGCGTCGGTCTGTCAATTAGAAACACGAAAAATTAAATGCTACCCTTAATGCTAGAAACTCTAGTCTGCAGTACAGAGTTGTGTACTGCGAGATACTCTGATCTTTAATACAGTGTTGTAACTACTAAATACTGTGATCTTCAAAAGAATGTTGACACTACTAGATACTCTGATCTTCAATACAGTGTTGTCACTACTAAATACTCTGGTCTTCAAAAGAATGTTGACACTACTAGATACTCTGATCTTCAATACAGCGTTGTCACTACTAGATACTCTGGTCTTCAATACAGCGTTGTCACTACTAGATACTCTGATCTTCAATAGAATGTTGACACTACTAGATATTCTGATGTTCAATACAGTGTTGACACTACTAGATATTCTCATCTGTTATACACTGTTGTCACTACTAGATACACTGATCTTCAATAGAATGTTGACACTTCTAGATACTCTGATCGTCAATACAGTGTTGTCACTGCGAGATACTCTGATCTTCAGTACAGTGTTGTCACTGCGAGATACTCTGATCTTCAATACAGTGTTGTCACTGCGAGATACTCTGATCTTCAATACAGTGTTGTCACTGCGAGATTCTCTGATCTTCAATACAGTGTTGTCACTGCGAGATACTCTGATCTTCAATACAGTGTTGTCACTGCAAGATACTCTGATCTTCAATACAGTGTTGTCACTGCGAGATACTCTGATCTTCAAAAACAGTGTTGTCACTGCGAGATACTCTGATCTTCAATACAGTGTTGTCACTGCGAGATACTCTGATCTTCAATACAGTGTTATCACTGCAAGATACTCTGATCTTCAATACAGTGTTGTCACTGCGAGATTCTCTGATCTTCAAAAACAGTGTTGTCACTGCGAGATTCTCTGATCTTCAGTTCAGTGTTGTCACTGCGAGATTATCTGATCTTCAGTACAGTGTTGTCACTGCGAGATACTCTGATCTTCAATACAGTGTTGTAACTAATGGATACTCTGATGTTCAATACAGTGTTGTCACTAATGGATACTCTGATCGTCAATACAGTGTTGTCACTGCGAGATACTCTGATCTTCAATACAGTGTTGTCACTGCAAGACACTCTGATCGTCAATACAGTGTTGTCACTGCGAGATTCTCTGATCTTCAAAAACAGTGTTGTCACTGCGAGATTCTCTGATCTTCAATACAGTGTTGTCACTGCGAGATACTCTGATCTTCAATACAGTGTTGTCACTGCGAGATTCTCTGATCTTCAAAAACAGTGTTGTCACTGCGAGATTCTCTGATCTTCAGTTCAGTGTTGTCACTGCGAGATTATCTGATCTTCAGTACAGTGTTGTCACTGCGAGATACTCTGATCTTCAATACAGTGTTGTCACTAATGGATACTCTGATGTTCAATACAGTGTTGTCACTAATGGATACTCTGATCGTCAATACAGTGTTGTCACTGCGAGATACTCTGATCTTCAATACAGTGTTGTCACTGCGAGATTCTCTGATCTTCAGTACAGTGTTGTCACTGCGAGATTATCTGATCTTCAGTACAGTGTTGTCACTGCGAGATACTCTGATCTTCAATACAGTGTTGTCACTAATGGATACTCTGATGTTCAATACAGTGTTGTCACTGCGAGATTCTCTGATCTTCAGTGCAGTGTTGTCACTGCGAGATACTCTGATCTTCAATACAGTGTTGTCACTAATGGATACTCTGATCTTCAATACAGTGTTGTCACTAATGGATACTCTGATCTTCAATACAGTGTTGTCACTGCGAGATACTCTGATCTTCAATACAGTGTTGTCCTTGTGTTTCAGTTCATCATCGCTGGGGCAATAGGCACCTGTGTGTCACGTGTCAGGGCTCACAGTCTGCTGTTTTTTGTAAGTATTGTTCACCTGTTTGTGGGAGCCACACAGGCATACTGTCTGTTCTCTCTTCACCCTGTCAAAGTATTTGAACTTGGGGATGGCAGGTAAACTGCAGTAAGAGGACCTATAAATATATTATTGTTATAAGTAAAGCTTCTATTGACAGAAAAGCGAAAATAACAACAATATAACAACCTAACAACAATATAATGCACAATTCATGTAATGAGCTACTTTGAACACATCCATCATTGAACGTTACCGGCTGTTAAGGCCTACATCTACCACCTCGCCTAATAACTTGACGTTGTCATTCTAGCGGAATACATTCCTGACGCTCAGTGTTCTGTGTGCAGCCTTGTTCGGCCCAGCCTGCCTTGCAGTCACGTGCATAGAGGCTGTTCTGGTGAGTTCAGACATATGATCAATAACCACGTGTTGTGTGACAGTGTGACAGTGCTGGTGAGTTTAGATATACGACCAGTAGCCAAGTGCAGTGTGACAGTGTGACAGTGCTGGTGATTTCAGATGTACGATGATTATTTAGCAACTTTAATTTATTGTTTATGTAAAACATTTCTCGTCACTATATGGCTGAAATATTGCCGAGGTGACGTTAAATTCTAACTCACTCACTCACTCACTCACTCAGATGTACGACTAGTAGCCACGTGCTGTGTGACGGTGCTGTGTGACGGTGCTGGTGAGTTTAGATGTACGACCAGTAGTCACGTGCTGTGTGACGGTGCTGGTGAGTTTAGATGGCAGCTACAATATTACATGATTACATGATGTTACAATATTACCTCAACAGCGTCACGGGCTATATCCTGGCGACTATAGATGGCAGCTACAATATTACATGGTTACATGATGTTACAATATTACATCCACAGCATCACGGGCTGTATCCTGGCGACTATAGATGGCAGCTACAATAATTACATGGTTACATGATGTTACAATATTACATCTACAGTGTCACGGGCTGTATTCTGGCGACTATAGATGGCAGCTACAATATTACATCGTTACATGATGTTACAATATTACCTCCACAGCGTCACGGGCTGTATCCTGGCGACTATAGATGGCAGCTACAATAATTACATGGTTACATGATGTTACAATATTACATCTACAGTGTCACGGGCTGTATCCTGGCGACTATAGATGGCAGCTACAATATTACATGGTTACATGGAGATGTTACAATATTACCTCCACAGCGTCACGGGCTGTTTCCTGGCGACTGTAAGGCAGCTGCAATAATTACATGGTTACATGATGTTACAATATTACATCTACAGTGTCACGGCTGTATCCTGGCGACTAAAGATGGCAGCTACAATATAATATGGTTACATGATGTTACAATATTACATCTACAGTGTCACGGGCTCTATCCTGGCAACTATAGATGGCAGCTACAATATTACATGGTTACATGATGTTACAATATTACCTTCACAGCATCACGGGCTGTATCCTGGCGACTATCGGTGGCTGTTACAATATTACATGATTACATGATGTTACAATATTACATCTACAGTGTCACGGCTGTATCCTTGCGACTATAGATGGCAGCTACAATATAATATGGTTCCATGATGGTACAATATTACATCTACAGTGTCACGGGCTGTATCCTGGCGACTATTAATGGCAGCTACAATATTACATGGTTACATGGAGATGTTACAATATTACATCCACAGCGTCACGGGCTGTATCCTGGCGACTATAGATGGCAGCTGCAATAATTACATGGTTACATGATGTTACAATATTACATCTACAGTGTCACGGGCTGTATCCTGGCGACTATAGATGGCAGCTGCAATAATTACATGGTTACATGATGTTACAATATTACATCCACAGCGTCACGGGCTCTTTCCTGGCGATATTAAATGGCAGCTACAATATTACATGGTTACATGATGTTACAATATTACCTTCACAGCGTCACGGGCTGTATCCTGGCGACTATAGGTGGCAGCTACAATATTACATCGTTACATGATGTTACAATATTACATCTACAGTGTCACGGGCTGTATCCTGGCGACTATAGATGGCAGCTACAATATAATATGGTTCCATGATGTTACAATATTGCATCCACAGCGTCACGGGCTGTATCCTGGCGATTATAGGTGGCAGCTACAATATTACATGGTTACATGATGTTACAATATTACATCTACAGTGTCACGGGCTGTATCCTGGCGACTATAGGTGGCAGCTACAATATTACATGGTTCCATGATGTTACAATATTACCTTCACAGCGTCACGGGCTGTATCCTGGCGACTATAGATGGCAGCTACAATATTACATCGTTACATGATGTTACAATATTACCTTCACAGCATCACGGGCTGTATCCTGGCGACTATAGATGGCAGATACAATATAATATGGTTACATGGAGATGTTACAATATTACCTCCACAGCGTCACGGGCTGTATCCTGGCGACTATAGATGGCAGCTACAATATTACATGGTTACATGATGTTACAATATTACATCTACAGTGTCACGGGCTGTATCCTGGCGACTATAGGTGGCAGCTACAATATTACATGGTTCCATGATGTTACAATATTACCTTCACAGCGTCACGGGCTGTATCCTGGCGACAATAGATGGCAGCTACAATATTACATCGTTACATGATGTTACAATATTACCTTCACAGCATCACGGGCTGTATCCTGGCCACTATAGATGGCAGCTATAATATTACATGGTTACATTATGTTACAATATTACATCCACAGTGTCACGGGCTGTATCCTGGCGACTATAGATGGCAGCTGCAATAATTACATTGTTACATGATGTTACAATATTACATCTACAGTGTCACGGGCTGTATCCTTGCGACTATAGGTGGCAGCTACAATATTACATGGTTACATGGAGATGTTACAATATTACATCCACAGCGTCACGGGCTGTATCCTGGCGACTATAGATGGCATCTACAATATTACATGATTACATGATGTTACAATATTACCTTCACAGCGTCACGGGCTATATCCTGGCGACTATAGATGGCATCTACAATATTACATGATTACATGATGTTACAATATTTCATCCACAGTGTCACGGGCTGTATCCTGGCGACTATAGATGGCAGCTACAATAATTACATGGTTACATGATGTTACAATATTACATCTACAGTGTCACGGGCTGTATCCTGGCGACTATAGATGGCAGCTACAATATTACATCGTTACGTGATGTTACAATATTACATCTACAGCGTCATGGGCTGTATCCTGGCGACTTTAGATGGCAGCTACAATAATTACATGGTTACATGATGTTACAATATTATATCCACAGCGTCACGGGCTGTATCCTGGCGACTATAGATGGCAGCTACAATAATTACATGGTTACATGATGTTACAATATTACATCTACAGTGTCACGGGCTGTATCCTGGCGACTATAGATGGCAGCTACAATATTACATGGTTACATGGAGATGTTACAATATTATCTCCACAGCGTCACAGGCTGTATCCTGGCGACTATAGGTGGCAGCTGCAATAATTACATGGTTACATAATGTTACAATATTACCTCTACAGCGTCACGGGCTGTATCCTGGCGACTATAGATGGCAGTTACAATATTACATGGTTACATGATGTTACAATATTACCTCCACAGCGTCACGAGCTGTATCCTGGCGACTATAGATGGCAGCTACAATATTACATGGTTACATGATGTTACAAAATTCTACCTCCACAGCGTCACGGGCTGTATCCTGGCGACTATAGATGGCATCTACAATATTACATGGTTACATGATGTTACAATATTTCATCCACAGTGTCACGGGCAGTATCCTGGCGACTATAGATGGCAGCTACAATAATTACATGGTTACATGATGTTACAATATTACATCTACAGTGTCACGGGCTGTATCCTGGCGACTATAGATGGCAGCTACAATATTACATGGTTACATGATGTTACAATATTACATCTACAGCGTCACGGGCTGTATCCTGGCGACTATAGATGGCAGCTACAATAATTACATGGTTACATGATGTTACAATATTATATCCACAGCGTCACGGGCTGTATCCTGGCGACTATAGATGGCAGCTACAATAATTACATGGTTACATGATGTTACAATATTACATCTACAGTGTCACGGGCTGTATCCTGGCGACTATAGATGGCAGCTACAATATTACATGGTTACATGGAGATGTTACAATATTTCATCCACAGTGTCACGGGCTGTATCCTGGCGACTATAGATGGCAGCTACAATAATTACATGGTTACATGATGTTACAATATTTCATCCACAGTGTCACGGGCTGTATCCTGGCGACTATAGATGGCAGCTACAATATTACATCGTTACGTGATGTTACAATATTACATCTACAGCGTCACGGGCTGTATCCTGGCGACTATAGATGGCAGCTACAATAATTACATGGTTACATGATGTTACAATATTATATCCACAGCGTCACGGGCTGTATCCTGGCGACTATAGATGGCAGCTACAATAATTACATGGTTACATGATGTTTACAATATTACATCTACAGTGTCACGGGCTGTATCCCTGGCGACTATAGATGGCAGCTACAATATTACATGGTTACATGGAGATGTTACAATATTATCTCCACAGCGTCACAGGCTGTATCCTGGCGACTATAGGTGGCAGCTGCAATAATTACATGGTTACATAATGTTACAATATTACCTCCACAGCGTCACGGGCTGTATCCTGGCGACTATAGATGGCAGCTACAATATTACATGGTTACATGATGTTACAAAATTCTACCTCCACAGCGTCACGGGCTGTATCCTGGCGACTATAGATGGCATCTACAATATTACATGGTTACATGATGTTACAATATTTCATCCACAGTGTCACGGGCTGTATCCTGGCGACTATAGATGGCAGCTACAATAATTACATGGTTACATGATGTTACAATATTACATCTACAGTGTCACGGGCTGTATCCTGGCGACTATAGATGGCAGCTACAATATTACATGGTTACATGATGTTACAATATTACATCTACAGCGTCACGGGCTGTATCCTGGCGACTATAGATGGCAGCTACAATAATTACATGGTTACATGAAGTTACAATATTATATCCACAGCGTCACGGGCTGTATCCTGGCGACTATAGATGGCAGCTACAATAATTACATGGTTACATGATGTTACAATATTACATCTACAGTGTCACGGGCTGTATCCTGGCGACTATAGATGGCAGCTACAATAATTACATGGTTACATGATGTTACAATATTACATCTACAGTGTCACGGGCTGTATCCTGGCGACTATAGATGGCAGCTACAATATTACATGGTTAC